AACAAGGCATCAGCATGAGAGAGTGTTTTACCAAAGTGATCCTAAAACTATCTTCTTACCTCCTTCTAGATGAGTACTGTCTCATATATTAGTGAGCAAATTGCATGATGGCTCCATTGGGGAAACAAAATGTATAAACTAAACTTTACAATAGTGACTCATACTGTACTTAAGAATAAGTAAAATATAGTGACATATAGTTATTAGATTTGTGGGTTATTATGGTTGTACACAGATTTTGATGTGTTCTTTAGAGTATCTGATTACCACAACAAGTAAGAAACAATTTTTGAATTGTCATTTTGTTTCCACTAATTTCTATAGTTTTGTAGTACAATTCATTTCTTTTGGTACCTTAAAATATCTTCCACCATCCTTCATTGTTTGGCAAAATAATGGTACTGAGAAGCAAACTCCAGTTCTCTTCCAGAATAGCAGATGCTCATAACTGCTGAGCCATCTCTCCACCCCTAATATCTTTTTAAATAAGAATTTTAGAGTTTTTGAAGTCAACTTTGTAAGTCCTCTCCTATAGCAGGTTCTATGTTAGTTGGTTGATGTGAGGCCAGATATTGTAACTTGTGCTGTTAGAGGACCAGACTTGTGATATTTATGATTTATTAAAGTTTGCCTGAGGATTCAGGAACCAAAGGTAACCTCACACTGCAAGGATCAGTTAGTGGTGGTATCTTTCCCTGGCTCAGTTTGAGACTTGCCGCTTTCCTACTTCTCACTCAGGCTCTCTGAAATCTGGCTTTATGGTCCAATCTTTGTGTCACATGTGTATTCTTGACACTATCATATGCATTTAGATCTTTTATAAACACAAATGAAGGACTGGAGCCCAAATTGTGGAATTTCTAGAAATTTGAGTCATTCTTTTTTTTAATCATTTTTTATTTTAATTTTAGATAGCTTCTTTTACATGTCAATCCCAGTTCCCTCTCCCTCCCCTCCTCCCGCACTCCCCTTCCCCTCCACCCTCCCACCCTATTGCCAAATCCTTCCACATAGTGGATATCTAGAGTCTGTCATTTCACTCTGGGTAGGGTCCAGGCACTCCCCTAAGAGTCCAGGCTGAGAGCATCCCTCTTTGTGCTATAGGCACACGATGACTGTTTGTATTCCAGGGATAGACACTGATCCACAGCTCAGGGCCCCATAGGATGCCCAGGCCTTCTCGCTGACACTCACATTTGGGGGGTCCAGGAGTCATTCTTATTGTACAAAACCTCTAACTGACCAAATCAGGACTTTTGCATGTAGTACAAGCTGACCTTTGGCCTCCATGCTTTGTCCTCCTCACTCTTAATTTTAAGACACATCCCACTATGCTCAAAAGAATTTGGTACATCCTGCCTTGACAGTAAAAGACAGCAGGAGACAGGGAATGATCACTTGTTGGTTAGATATAGAATAGATGTACATTTTGCCTTCACATTTTCAGGTGATTGGTGTGATGAAATGGTGTGAAGAAATAAATTCTTCTTGCCACACACCTTGATATATTTCAACACCTCAAAGGCTACTGTTTCTGTCCCATGTATGTGTTGCTACACTGCCTTCAGGAATGTTCTAACTTTTCAAAGGGTAATGGTATACTTTCTGAGACATTCTCACATCAGGGATGATTCAGGAGCATTTGCAATTCAAAGCTGTTTCCCTGACTATTTCAACATGTCTTCTCTCAGAATGCTTCCTTTCATAGATATATTCCTTCTTTCTTTAGTAATCTGTATTTAACTTTAAGTTGTTTCACTTGCTTGTAAGGTTGAAGTTTTTCTTCTCTCTCTGTCGTTCTGTCTCTGTCTCTGTCTCTGTCTCTGTCTCTTTCTCTCTCTCTCTCTGTGTGTGTGTGTGTGTGTGTGTGTGTGTGTTTATGTGTGGAGTCATCCACTTTGTTTCTTAGCACAAGATTTCTCAATGGTCTGGAATTTGCTGAATAGGGTAGGCTGCCTGGCCAGTGAACCTTGTCTAACTTCCAAACTCTGGAATTACAAGCACACCTCACTATTCATTTTTTTTGAATATGTGATTTGGGAAATGAACTCTGCTCCTCATTCCTGCACAGTGAACATGTTACTGATATAGCTATTTCCCCACCCCTAGTTATCTCTTTAAATACGCTCTTTCCATTCTAATAAGAGCAGAATAGGAACTCTAGTTTTTACCATTATTCTCCCAGAGCCCAGCCCACATCAGACTCAGTAAGCAATATTCAATGAGACAAGAACAGCTACAAGTCTTTTGCAAGTATGAATTTAACTCTCAAATCAACCCCATTTGTATAATTCAAACTAAGACAGACTTGAGACAGACAAACATCAAATAACCCTTTCAAGGTTATAAAGCAAATATGTGAATAAATAGGATAAACATTCTAGGAAATCTGAGTAAAAATCCATTGTTTTACTGAAAATATTAAAAAAGATGAAAAACTAAGTTAAATGGGAGAGATGTCAACTCACATATGTACAATACACTGAAATAATTATGATGTGTTCCTCAGATTACTTTGAAAGACAGCAAGACTATCTATGTCCTTGTCACCTCTAACAGAGTGGAGTGATATCAAGGCCAGCTTCAATATGTATGTACTAGCATATATAAAGGAGGCTGGATCACTCATAAAAGAGATTGCTCTGGAATGCTGATAATCAACAAGTGAAGGTGTTAATAGCCTCAGGAAACGAGCATCTTACAAGAATGTGTGGGTTCTTCTTAATTATGGTGAAATGTGCATGACCTAGATCCTACCATTTTAACCATTGTCAGTATTCATTTGTAATCCTCTGCTGAGTTTTTCTATAACTAATTCAACAGCTACTGAGGCATATATGCACCAGAGATATGTAGTTTATTTTTTAAAATATTTTTAGCAAATAGCATTTGAACAGTGGAATTGAAGAAAAAACTAGATGGAGAGGTAGTAGAAAAAAATGAAAACAAAAAGCATGAAGGGTGTGTGTGTGGGACTCTGTATACCTGTACATAAATATATATACTTTCCAGTAAATCAGAGAACAATATTAGGTCTATGGGTATTTTCCACCTTGATTTTTGAGACAGAGTCTCTCACTAGGATCTGGTGCTTACTGTTTGGGCTAGGCTGGATGGCTAGTAAGCTAGAGGACTCTACCTAGCTGTCTTTCCAGTGCTGGGTTTACAACTATGTGCTATCACATCTGCCTTCTTTTACATGGGTGCTGGCAATTGAACTCATGTTTCATGTTGTGCAATGAATATTTTATTGAATACGCCATCTCTTCAGTACATATCACACCCCTTGTGCATTTGTTTCTGAAGAACTACCTACAATGACAACTAACTCTTCTTGGAAATCAGAATTAGGCAAAATATGTATCTCAATGAATGACTAATTTTCTCTAGATGTCACATGTATATATCCTGTTGTCTTGGTTAAAATTCCATACCTTTTCTAAGAAATACCCAAGCATGTCTTTAAAGACCCATTACAGTCTACAGTGTGTTCTTGTTCTACATATATCTATGTAATTCAATTTATCTTTGGATACAGCCTCAGCACTTCCTGTTCCAAATATCTGCTATTATCTCTTATCATCATGTTCCTGATTTATATTTCTACTGTAGGCTTTGTGTCATGTGGTCATCTTCAAAGCACAGTTCTCTCACTCTTTGTCTTTGTACCACATGTATTTAGAAAGGATGACAAAATTCAGGCTATACCACAATTAAATAGACTTATGTAAGTATATAAAAATCCTGCAAGTTATTCATAGATAGAATATCAAATGTTGATTATTATATAGGAAGACAAAAGTCTCAGGAAATGTTTTGCTGTGTTAGCCTTAGAAAATTAATTCAGTTTTGCATTGTGTATTCAATAATATCTCAATACTCTCTGACAATGTAATACTATTTTTCAAAAATACTGTTCCCAAATAAATGCATATGGTGTTCAAAGAGACATTGGTAATAAAGAATGGAGATGGTGTTTACAACAACCACAAAATAAGGACCAAGATAGGGTAGCTGAACCAAGTGATTCTCTTTAGGATTTTGTGGATTGAACTTAAATCTAGGAAAAGAAAAAAAAAGTTATTTTCAATGAAGTCAATAGGCGGAGAGTTTTGTGACTGGGTTGGTGGCCAGGTATCTCTTTTCATGGGTTTCAGAGTACCTTCTTGTGTCAGAGAGACTAGAATGTAGGGGTAAAGGAGAATGTGGAAGGGAATGTTTTAAAGGGTTGTATTGTTCTTGAGAAAAGGATTAGGCTAGCAAGAAATTAACAGCTATAAATTTAGCCTCAAGTTTCATATTAGAAATTTCTACATGAACCCAAATTCATCGGGGTCTCAGTGGAATGTCACCAGTAGCCTCCCTTCCAGGTAGCACCCTGGAAATCTTCTGCGGTGCACTAGCCTCCAGTTGCTCTGACACAAAAATCTGAAAACAACTGGAAAGGGAAGGAATTCATTCTATTTTACAGCTTCAGAGTTTCAGTGATTATCTTATGTCACTGCTGTCTGTCTGTTGTGAGGTGGAGCATCATGGTGACAGAAAGACAATACAGGGAAAAGTTTCTCATCTCTTGTAAGCCAGGAGACATAAGTCTAGACAGGGGGGCAAGAGATGTACTTCAAAGCATGCCCTTCAACATTCTCCTTCACACCTACATTTTAATCTCTTTGGCATGAGAAGGGACTCTGCAGGCTGTGGAAAGAGATATCTGGACACCAACTGAGTCACAAATCTCTCTACATGGAATCTGTCCTGCCTACAAGATATGCTGAGTAAATGGTGGCACAGAAATTGTGGGAGTGGCCAATCAATGTTTTGTTCAACTTGAGACCCCCCCATGCCTTACACTGTCTGGAAGGTCAGGAACTGGAGGCTGGATGCCACAGAGCCCTAGGCTAGAACCAAACACAAGTAGCAAATAAATAAATAAATAAATAGCTTCAAAATTACAAAGTAATGTTTCCTAATGATAGTCTTCTATACTCATAAAATGGTACCTTGTTCAGTTGTCTTCATAGATGCATATGGAAGCTAGTGTAGGGACCCACCGTCAGACATTATGCCCAGAGAGAATCTGAATTGAAGGTCACATTGGCTCACCTCTCAGAGATGGGGAACCCTGCTGGAACAGAGGAGCTGTAGGACTCAGAGGTAATAGAAGATACCAGCAGGACATGGCCCACCAAATCAAGTAAGCATGGCTCATATGAGTTCACAGAGACTGAAGTTGCAAGCATGAAGCCTGCACAGGTCTGCTCCAGGTCTTCTGCATATAATATGGAGGCTAGCTTGGTGTTCTTATGAGACTCCTAACAGTTGGAGTGAGTGTGTCTCTGACTCTTTTGCCTGCTCTTCAGTCTCTTTTCCCTCTCTTGGGTTGTTTTGTCCAGCCTTAATATGAGGATTTGGGCTTATGCTGTTGTATTTCATTTTATCCTATCTACCTGCCTCTCTTGGAGATGTGCTCTTTTCTGAAGAGAAAGCAGAAGGGGAGTACATCTAGGGGACAGGGAAGATAGGGGAGAGCTAGGAGGAGTGGAGTGAGGGGAAACTGGTTGGGATGTATTGTATGAGAGACGAATCTATTTTCAAATAAAAACATTCCATTTCCATAACAACCCCATCTTACACAGATTCCTCTTTATCTCAGTAATCCATTCAGTTATGAAATTGTCACTGAATGAATCACTCATGGCCCACTCATTCCTTGTGAAGCCCAGCATCTGGAAAATCAGGCTTTGTCAATACCTGAGCCTTAGAGTATGGGCCTAATGCTTCCTATTCAAACCCTACTCAAACATTGGCTAATGGTGAGTTTGAGCTGAGCCAAGACATTTTTACAAGAAACTGTTTCGTCTTGAGGTTCTTTGATGCAGATTAAGTTATATTTTTACTCAGGAGAATATTTCCTTGTCATTGAAGCCAATCCTAATCATTACTCCCATTTTCCTTCTTTATTTAGCACATAAGGGATATAATTCACATTTTAAAATTTTTTGTTTAAATTAAAAACAATCTTGTTTTACATACCAATCCTAGTTCCCTCTCCCTCCTTTTGTTCCATTCCTCAATCCCCAACCCATCCCATCCCCCATCTACTCCTCAGGGAGGGTGAGGCCTCCCATTAGAGATCATCAAAGTGTGTCACATCATTTGGTACAGAACCTAGGCCCTCCTTTGTATCTAGACTGAGAGAATATCCTTCCATAGGGAATGGGCTCCCAAAACCCATTCGTGAACTATGGATAAATTCTGGTTCCACTGCCAGAGTTCTCATAGACTGTCCAAGCTCTGCAACTGACACCTATATTCAGGGTCCCTGGATTGGTCTTATGCTGGTTCCCCAGCTTTCAGATTGGAGTCTGTGAGCTCCCATTTGCTCAGGTCAGCTGTTTCTATGGGTTTCCCCAGCATGGTCTTAAGTCCTTAACTCATCACTCCTCCCTCTCAAAACTGGATTCCATGAGTTTGGATCAGTACTTAGCTGGGAATCTCTGCTTCTGCTTCTATTGGCTACTGGATGAAGGCTCCCTGATGGCATTTAAGGTAGTCATCAATCTTATTATAGGAGAAGAGCATTTAATGTATTCTCACCATATTGTTTTTATCTGAGACTAATATATCTCTAGATCTATTGAAATAAACTGTTTCTCATTTGTTATTATTTGGATTTTTGTGCATGAGGAAACTGAGGTAAAGGTAAGTCAAGGATATTGATTGCCTGGATCACAGGGTTTGTGCTGCAGAAGTTTGGTAACAAATACAGGGAAATTCTTAGGGCCTGCAGCACAGTGTTGTTAAAGTGTGAACCCATATGTGGACTACAGAAACATTACAAGTAAATAAACAAGCTGACTTTAGAAATTGGACCTTGTGAAGAGAGGGCATTATTTCAGAATAGATTTATTGACTTCTAAACTCTTTCCTTCCCATGAAACCTCCAAATTCTCCACTATGTTTTGCCTGCTTCACTAAGTGGTGCTGACTACTTAATTGCTCAGGTCAAATCCATTACCGACTTGGAGGGTTTCTGTTTCGTTTTTGTTATTTTTTTCTTTGGTTTCATCCTCTTCATAAACTTTTCTTTTTTTTTTACAATTTTTTATTTAAATTATAAGCAAGCTTGCTTGACATATCAATCCCAGCTCCCTCTCCCTCCTCTCATCCCCACATCCCCCAACTCCCCCAAACCCCCATCTTCCCCATGTTTCACTCCCCAGGGGGTGTGGCCTTCTATGGGGGAATCTCCAAAGTCTCTCATATTACCCCAGGTAGGGCCTAGGCCCTTCTCCATGTGTCCAGGCTGACAGAGCATCCCACCATGTGGAATGGGCTCCCTAAGTCCATTTGTATGCCAGGGATCAATACTGATCTACTATATGAGGCCCCATAGATTACTGAAGCCTTCTCACTGACACCTTCATTCAGGGGGTCAGGATAAGTCCCTTGCTGGCCTCTCAGTCACCTGTCTGGGATCCATGAGTTCCCCTTTGCTAAGGTCAGCTGCCTCTGTGGGTTTCACCAGCCGGTTCTTGATTCCTTTGCTCATCACTCCTCCCTCTCTGCAAGTGGTTTCCTGGAGTTCAGGTCAGTGTTTAGCTGTGGGTATCTGGCTTTGCTTCCATCAGTCTCTGGATGAAGACTCTAGGATGGCATATAAGGTAGTCATCAATGTCATTATCGGGGGAGGGCATTTAAGGTACCCTCTCCACTGTTGCTTAGATTGTTAGTTGGTATGATTCTTGTAGATCTCTGAAAAACTCACTAGTGCAAGATGGGGGAGCAGAAAGGTTGAGTAAGGGGAAGAATAGAGGAGAGCAGGATAAGAGATACCATAATAGAAGAAGAAATTATAGGTTTGAGAAAAGATCCTCAAATACTTTTCATTGAGGCTTTCCTTCTCTACTTCCAAAATATGCTAGGCACTGCAATCTTTTCTTTATTGGGGTCAGAAGAGTTTTCTTTAAAGAACCAGGAGGAAAATATTTTTGAGTTCAAGACTATTTATTGTCTGGTGTAGTCATTTCATTGGGACATAGAAGCAAGTATAGATACTGTAGGGACACAGAGGTGTGATCCAATAAAAAGATATAGACAGAGCTTGTAGTGGTCCTCTGGTATCTGGTAATTCAACATGGTGGGTGTCTAATGCAGCATCCCTGATTGATTAGCTTAAATTGCTATGTCACTTTGATTTCAGTCAGTCTTCTTAGTTCTAAGGAGAAGCAGGTATTCCAGGTTAAATATCTAAATGATGGGCCTCAGGGTTTGCCTTGATGTTTTCTTTTTCTCTATTTTATAGTGAATATTTACTCATATTCACTGTGAAAATGAAAACTCCTAGACTATCTGTGAAATATAAATGATACTTAATTTTGCTCTCTATCATTAGTTATAGATGTATCTATTTTCAAGATTGGGTAATAGGATGCTAACTAACATTGATTCCTGTCGTTTGTCCATAAACAAGAAGTTATTTAGTCTCTGTATTTGAACCATTCTATAAAAATTTAAATACTAATGTATTTGGTGTGTTTGTGTATGTGCATATAAATATGTATGTGTGTGAATAAGTAGATATGTGTTCTTCTAAGAGGTTGGATCTCCTTTCATTTCTATGCTCCACTTGTCCAATCACCAGCAATGATCTAATTTTCCTTTTGACCTACAGCTTCCTTGCTCAGTGCCTGAAAATGTATTCTATGGCTTCTCCGTTTTGTCACTAATTCCTTTTTCTTACTACTGTGACTGATTTGCAATCTCCCAGGGATTTGCTCCTAGTCTCTGGAGGATTTCAGTGCTGATTTCCCCAGGAGAATTTTATGCCTAATTATACATAATTACACATTAATCTGGTCACAGATCATATGTACTCACTGCATCTCAGATTCTTGCCAGATCCAAGAGATTCTTACAAGTTGTGAAAACCATGATTCAAGGATGAAGAAATTTGAAATGTATAATTTTAAAGGTGTTTTAACTTTTTTATTCTTTGAAATTTTCTTTGTTGAGTTTATTTTAATTTGGTCCAAGACTTGGGAGATGCTGTAGGGCAGTTACAAAGCAGCTTATTGGCTTGAGAAGTTCAGGTGGAGGTCACAGGCTGACTGGTGCAGAGCTAAAGCTGGAGCTCCTCAGAAGATGAGGAGACTTCTTAATTTGCTTGAGAATGAGCGGCTCAAAGAGATACTTACCGAAAGATGGATGGCGAACCTAGTTGCATTGACTGCGTACCACCTTACCTATGGTGCTTGATCAGGTGACTGTCCATCTTCTTGATGAGCTTCACTTCCTCATCAAGGAAGTGGTTTTCTAAGAAGTCACAGTGATAAGGGTCTGTGCAGGCAAACCCAGAGAATGAAGATCCAAGACGGCCTGTTCATATCCTTTTCCAAGGCCAAGGCAGCTTCCACGGCTTCTTGGGTTTAACCCTACTCATTTTGAGATGGTTTCTCTTCATCCTGGAAGAATGCAGGGAGGGGTATAGAGCAGTGGGGAGGCAATCATTCTGTAACTCTGAGATGGTCAGAGCCCCCTCACTTCTCCTTGGCAGATTTGAAGAAGTGGCCTACATCCTCCAGATCTACATCATTCTGATTAAAATATTAGCCCAGAGAGAGGTAGTTATAGGAGGCCTGCAGAAGCAAGTAATGCATGGAAGCTTCTGTAATTTTGATGTGTCTAGGAAGTCATTGCTGATCTATAGTATGGAGCTAACACAAAGAGATAATGTTAGTTGGTTCTAGGAGCCAAAGCTGGTGAGGAGACATTCCTAGACGCTATGACTGTAGAGATTGTAAGAAGACTGGAAGCTGAATTCATACATATATGCATGCAATGTGTCTTGATTATATCTATGCCTTCCTCCTTCCTCCAACACCTCAAGACAACCCAAAACTCAACTCTGTTCCAACTTCATGACCTCAATTTTTTATATTTCTGAAAGGTTTGTATGACTTTGTATTATGCTACCTTTTAATAATTTCCTTCTGAATTCTTCAGGGCAGAGTATGGTGGAAAGAATAATATTTGAAGTATCGTGAATTTGAATGAATTCTAGGTCTTGTCTATATTGAATAACTTATCCTTTGTATCTGTTCTTGTGTATGTGTGGGCATTTACCTGCATGCTACTATGGATTTAGACCAGGGTATTATTCATGCTAGGTAAGTATTTCATCATTGTAGTTATAGCCCCAGCTCATCATTTTCTGTCTCATTTATTTTATGAGTAAAACGTGAATGTTGCTTCTATTTACTGAATAATATGAAGGTGGGGGTGATAATGAGTTCACTAGACCCAAGATAAATGGCAAATGGGTGTTTCATTGAGGAACAACTTACACAGATAATAGTAAAGAGCCACTGTGGTGTTCCTGCTCCAGATGATGCAGTTTTTGCCCTCCTGATGCATGTGATCTCTACTTTCAAGTCAAATCTACACATGAAGTCATGCCCAAAGTGGTGTGGCCACTAACACAAATTCACTAACAAGGTGAGATGCTACTACAATAATATAACTAATTTATACAAATCATATAATCTGGGCCCTA